TTCCCTGTTGCCTAGTAACGCAGCGTTGCCAAACACTTATCACTGATCTGGTTGTTTCAGCTGGTAGAAGATATTTTGTATCCCTCACACAGCGATCATTATTCCCTTGTGTTGGGTCGTATCTTTTAAGTAATTCAGCATCATTTAAGGTTTCTAGAACATTGTGATGTGGAATGACAGCAGCCCTTTAAGATTCTTTGTGATTTAATTTGTTGAGTTAGGAATCCTCTCCACTGCATCTTACTTCTCCCAGACTTAGGTGCTACTTTTAGTGCTAAGTGACTTTGTGATTTAGTCTTAGTCCTAACTTTAGGACTCCTAATTTTCCTGACTGACATGCCCATTATTTTCTCCTATATCAGCAAGTTAGGAGCTACTTTTAGCCTTAAGATACTTTGTGAATACAGGCCCTGATGCGTTCAGCATTTATTTGAGAGTTTTGTTGAGGCTGGAGTTTTGCTGTTGAAAAGATGATTTCTTGTGACCGAGAGATGGAAAAGTGTACAAATCAGACCAACAAGTTAACGCTTCAGTTTGGCTGGTTTATTTGTGCACAAAGGACAGATCTGGTGCTGGGTACACCAAGTCTCTCTCTGAATGACAGAACTTGAGCTGCTTATATCCTAACTTGATCAGGGCCTGGTAATTATCATCTGTTTAACCTCAAAACCTTTCTCTCAGTGTTTCACTTTTATTGCTTACATCCTCCTGGAAGTACCTGCATCACTAAATCTCTGCCAGGATGTAGATAATCTTCTAAACACCAATATAACCTTAAAACCCTTGACGTGTGACAGACTCTGTGATCTCCTGCTCCCCTAAAGGTCAGCAGCCTACCTAAAGTTCACATTCTTGACATCCTTAGACCAAAGTTACCAACGTGCAACACAAATACAACCTTACAGCTGTTTAATTGGCCAATCTGTTACCAGTAGATGATGTATTTTTTGCAACAAGACATCTTGCGTTTTTAGTTGCAGCAGTGTGGAGATAGAATTGTGATTACCTTAGTGAGTTGTGATCAATTGTGATCACCTTGTGATTTCCTCAGGTGTTTTGTAGTACACTTCACTACCACTAGTGGTGGGAATGATAATTACATTTTGTCAATTGACATATTTAGGGACCTTATGAGTAATATGGTCTCAATGTTATAAACAAAATTAAATCCCTGCTGACTACAGTGACAAGCTAGCCAGTGGTTCAGTACATTAAGCCTACTGTGCATATCATCATTACCCAACACCAGTTAGGGACCAGAGACAATTAATGGATGCCTACACATCTTTCTGGCAAACACCAACACCCCTGCTAGTAGAGCTGCACAATTAATCAAAATATAATCAAAATTGCAATATGTCAAGTGAAATATCCAAATCACAGACACTGCAGTTGTTTTCATGGAGGCAAAATGTCTCACAACATTGTTGTGCATTGGTAGCATCATACATGTTGTGATGTTACAGAGATGCCCCAGCCTACAAATCATATTCTCCAAATGTAAAGGAACATGTTTGTTTGATACGAGACCAACAAGAATCACACCATCATCCTTTTGAAAAAAATTCAGTGCAAATAAAATGATTGAGAAAAGTCAACATTGACAGGAGGAGACCTGCAGGCCAACAGGGCTACCAGCAGGGCTGGCAAGGGTTGAAAACTGGTTTGTCGTTGGGACCAGGCCTCACACTAGTGGTTTGCTCTTTCGAGTCTTTCCACGCCAGCGTACAGGGACAAACTCCATACCACTTACCATCGAGGCTTTGTGAGTGCAGACATGTCTCTCAAGCAGAGACACCCTTTCTGCTAAAGCAGAGCAGCTGAAACAATCGTAACACAGTTAGCAAGGTAGCATTAGCTGTGTCTAACTAGAGGCTAAGCTAGGATGCTAAGATGCTAGGGTAGGAGTTAAGCTTCATGTTACGAAAATCAAGTGAGGCATGACTCAGGTCTTACTGAATGAATTAAAATCGGGCTACTTCCCTGAAGGAAGAAAGTCAAGCTAAGTCATGGGATATGCTTTAGCATCAGTAATGTAAAGCACATGATTTCTAATTGCTGGGATTAAAATGTACATCAGTGTAGTTTGTTACGGTTTAGTTTAGGTATCAGGAAAAAACAATTTTATTTCTTTGCCAACCAAAACATTTTTTTGTCTTGAGTTTCATGTTTGAGACATTGTGTTAACACATTATTTTTCTTTCAGGTGTGAGAGATGCTGACATGTCAGAGCTGCGGTCCATTGTCTCTGACCCCAAAGAATCTCACATGTACTATATTAAGGAATTCCTTTCTTTGTCGGACATCACCAACAACCTCTACATTGACCTCTGTAACAGCGCTAAAAGCTTAGGTAGGCAAGCATACAGCCATGCATGGTGGTGTAGCAACTCTGGCAGAGAAACTCACAGAGGGCAAAGTAAAATTCACATCATAAGGTGTTTAGCCAGATAATCCAGGGTCAGGTAAGCAGTCCAATAAATGCAAACAGTAACAGGCAGGGAGCAGCAAAAGTCTGAAAACCAAGTAACAAACCAAAGGGCAGACATGAGTAAATGGCTGGAGAGCAATGCATACAGGAGACACAAACAGCCTTTTTTCACCTTGTGGTATCTGCACCTCTCCACTCTATTCGCCTTTTCTGGTTTTCCATTGGGCAACACTTTTGGATAGTACCTGGTACTTGTTCACACCTCCTCTGAGTTTCTAAGTGAGCGGAGATGATACCAAAGGTGATGTGAGATCACAGCAGACTAATGATTGGTCAGAGAGAATTGTCCCCACTGCATCATCATTCTACAAGACAGGACATTCTGGACAAGCCAGCCATTTTTAAATGGCCAAGCAACTGCACACTCTCACTGTGGCCCATTATATTACTGTTAGTTATTGTTCTATACTTTTAGTATGGCACCTATAGAAGAGACTGAAGCTGGAACTTGTGGATCCAAACGAGATAATTTGCAATAAAACTGAACAGAATGAAATAACACTAGTATTTATACCATCACTCTCAGATACAGGTTTCCACTGCACTTTCTTCAGAGCCATAGTGGGGGCTTCCAGGTTTCCTGTGATTAAGTCTTACTGATATGCACACCTTCCTGTTTGACATCTGCCATTGTTCATGTGTGTGTCGCTTGAAGATGACGTCCTGAATACTTAATGCATTGTTGTCTAGACTAGTCAAGTCTAGAGTCAAGTTGAGTTGAGTTAGTACCATGTAGTGGGAAAATGCTAAAACACAATCTGGCAGAGAACAAAGAACACAGAACAGCGTATGAACATGTCCAACTGGTGGGAAACAGTAGGCACAGGTAGGTGGGCGGAGCAAAGGGGAGGAGGTTCAAGGGGCTGGGAAACACATGAGGACAGGAGCTGCAATGACACAAGAGGTAAGTACACATAAATAAAACAGGAAACGGATAGTGAAAAAAGGGGTCGCTGGCATACTGACGCACTGGTGTCAGGATCAATCTCAGGATATTATGGTTATCAAAGCTGTTAAACACCAGCTAAATTTTGGATGATAACAGTTATATAAAGTATATAAAGTTGTCTTATAGCTGTGAAGAACTAAATAGTTTTCATTTAGCAAAGGAAGGACCTAATGGTCAAATTTGATGGAAAAATACAATGAGGCTTTGACTTCTGCTATGACTTCTTCCCTAACTTGTGTACAATTGTTTTCTGCCAACAATCCCTGCACAGATGGAGTCTGCTATTCCCCCCAGCTCCAGGTCATAGTGCCACCATCTTCCCAGGGCCTTCAGACAACAACACAAACTCAGTATTATAATGTCATATAATATAATATATTCAACAATATACTCCAGGGATCCATTTCTCTGGCACAGTTGGTTTAAGATAAAATAAACTTAAAACACAATACATGGGCTCAGGTTCTGCACACAGCTACACTCATAGTGCATTCAAAATAAAACAAAGTACATCATTTTTCATATAATACAAAATATTAAGAAAAATAAAATGAATGCTGTGTTAGTCTAGATGCTGAAAAAGCTTTTAAAAAAATGAAGATGAACAGATGTCTAACTGATCACATTAAGCTGGAAAGGTCCACTCATGAAGGATGTCTCTCTCTCCAACCCTGTTTGCACTTTACATAGAACCTCTGACACACGCAATGAGAGGAAACAGTATTCTTCAGGGAACTGGAAAAGAAGATAAAGTAGCGTGATACACCGATGATGTTTTGTTATACGTGGCTGATCAGGGTGTGTCACTCAACACTCTGTTAGGTCTCCTTAACATATATATATATATAAGCCGAACATGCAAGAAATACATTTTAACAATGAAATTACAACCCATCAGAGTTCAAATGAGCTCTCTCTCTCTCTGCAGACTCTATCAGGCTGGTGAATGGAACCAGTCTGTGTTCAGGCAGACTGGAGGTGAAGTCTAACCAGTCTAACCAGTGGTGGTCCTCAGTGTGTGACGCTGACTTTGACCAGCAGGATGCAGAGGTGGTCTGTAGGGAGCTTGGCTGTGGGGCTCCTTCAGTCCTCCAGGGGGCGCTCTATGGAGAAGTGGAGGCTCCAATGTGGACCAAAGAGTTCCAGTGTGGAGGCAATGAGTCTGCTCTCCTGGACTGTAGCAGCTCAGACTCAGCTAGAACCACCTGCTCACCTGGGAAAGCTGTTGGACTCACCTGCTCAGGTAGAAGTGGAGCTGCAGCTTTGATTGGCTTCATCTCTGTTCTAATCAAACTCACTTTACTATTTTGTTATTGTTGGATAAAACTTAGTAAATGAGATTGTGCAGCTGATAAATAAGGTGGGAACAGGAGAAAAAAAAAAAAGAAAAATCTTCGTGTCAGTGCGGTCGGATTCTTTTCCTGAGTCCTTATGAATTCTCCTTCACATCATGATGTTTTCCACCGAGGTGGAGGAGAAGTGGTTAGGAAAGGAGATTATTTTGACTTTTCGACTGCAGCCCTGATCTGTTAATATTTACATCCATGCTGTAGACACTGAGCACATCCCGCCTCCCTTATTCCCAACTTCCTATTCCTCAACACAAACACTTGTGGTAACGTTGGAGGCAGTGCACCACCTTTCCACAGATATCTATCAATTAATACCTTTCATGCCACTGCCAAATCACACCTTTTGTGAACCTGCCTCTTCACTAGTTTATCTGTGCTAGTATAACATGACTGGTTATGACATTTGAATCATAACCAGGATTATTAAATATTGAATTTGTTTAGCCTCTGAGCAGTGAAGAGCATTTACACACTGAGCTTTGACTGATCTGAGCACAGTACAAATACAGAACACAGGTTTAATAAATGTGCAGATGTTTGAAAATATTCAGACATACTGAAACGCTGTGCAGTCAGTGGTAGGTGTGCGGACTAACTAGTATTTTGTCAGTGTGAATTTGGGCAAATACAAACTTCAGACCATGAAAAGTTGCCAGAGAAGAAATCAGACTGACAGCTGATGCTGCTGTGATGACATCATCAGAAGCAGGAAGGACGTCTTGTGTCCTCATTTCCTCTCTCCTCACATCTTTTCCTGCATCTCTCCTCCTGTCTCTAGTGGCATGAATGAAGATGTGAGGAAAAGACAAGTGAGGAAATCTTATGAAAATTTGGGAATTGAGTACTGTATTGAGACCTGGCGTCATCTTTTGCCTATTGTATCCCATAATCCTCTGTTTTCCTTCCAGGTGCTCAGTGTGAATCCACAGCCAAGACTGACATCGTGCTGTTGGTGGACACCTCTGGAAGCATCAGCGATAACGACTTTGAATCCATCCTTGTCTTTCTTGCTGACGTAGTCAGAGGCTTTGACATCGGCCCAGACAAATTCCAGATTGGTAATATTTTTACTGTCTCAGTACTATTACTGCTACTGCTTCTTTATACTCAACTCTTTACACCACAATGTCAAAGTACAAGTACAGGTCCTGTTTTCTTACTTTATATAGTAATGTAGCGGCTTTGTACTCTCCCTTTTTCGTTGTGTAATTTACGAGCTGAAGATGACCATCACAGTCGACACTTTGTCATTCATTTCAGGCCTGGCAGAGGGATCAACAACACAGTCATAACCGGTTTTTTCCTCTCACACACACACATATCCGTCTGAAAAATGTAAAATGAAAAGAAAGTGCAGATTTGCTAACCATGTGTAGCACTAGCCATTTTGTAAACACAAATAAAAGAAAAACACTGTCAACTTTTTATGCAAAAGGACGTGCTCGACCGTTCAGGAGCTATATGTTTAAAATAATGCTTAAACCACCCCTTAGTATTGGAAACTTAAGTAATTAATATGACAATTGCGGAGCTCATAGCTCATGCACCTACCAGGGGAACAACAAGGTCAAACTGTGGCTATCCCCCCCCGGGGTGCACGACCCTAAGACACAGGGGTGCTGCATTCACTGACCATGGGACAACCAAGTTTGTGTGTTGTGAGATGAGGTTTTTTTTATGGCCAGTGGAATCACCTATTTCTTAACTCCGTTACAGTAACACTCACTGGCCTTTGTGCTGCAGCTACAGAAATGGTTTATTACTGTGCTCCAAATGTCAGTTATCTGTTTTCTTTATTACTGATAATCAGTATCGGTCGATCACTATTAGAAACCCTCTAGTGCAGATCCCTTAATTACTGCATGTTCTTTCGTTTAAATGTGTTTAATACACATCACACATTGTTGTCTTTGGTATTAGGCACTGGTATTCTAAGCACAGGAAAACACTGGTCAGCAAACTAGGACGAGGAAAACAACTACTTGCGCTTGAATTTAGTGAGAAATGAATTTGGCCGAGATCATAGTAGAGTGAACAATCTGATGACCAGAGGAGGAGAAGCTGGAGTTCTTCAACTGGGAGCTTAATGAGATGATTGACTGCAGGTGTGGAGTGAAGCCACGCCCACATCACAGAGACACTCGGGGGAGGAGGAGACACAGGGGAGAACAGGGAAACACACAGAAACACAAGGGACAAATGTAATGTCGTGGGGCTGTGACTACAGGTCTGCTTCCTGTCCAAACAGCATTCAGTTTTTGTGCTCCACATATCTGAACTCCTGGAAATCTGCAGCTCTGCTCCAACCCTCAGTTCTTTTAAATATTATTTTGCTCAAATTAAATATGATGCAGTACATGTGTGTTTTTATATTGTGTTTCTAAATGCCTTGATTTTCTTTGTATTGTCTTGTTGTTGAAGGGTGCCAGACAATACACATGCTCTGCCTAACCTGTGTGTTTTCTGTAGGTGTGACTCTGTACAGTGACAGTCCAGAGACCATGTGGAACCTGAACACCTATCAAAACAAAGAATCCCTGCTGAACGCCATAGCCGACCTGAAACACACTGGAGGAAACACCATGATAGGTGATTTACCATCATGTTGTCCAGTCCACACCACACTGTGGAACCAGAGGCTCCAGTTGGATCTGGAACCAGAATAGTAGCCAAATATATGAACTTTGTGTCTTTAGGTCCATCAGTGGAGGAACTGAAGCTGTTAGTGATCAGTGTTTTGTAGAAAAAAATAACCTCAGGTATTTATAATATAGTATATATTGAACAACATGTGACTGGAATCCACTCCCTCACAGACTCAAGACAACCGTGTATTTAAAAATATTATTGACAAAGAATCTTCAGAAAAGAAACTTCAGATCAAGTTGTCAAAAAGTTTTGACCTCAATCTGTTTGTCATCATAAAACACTGAGAGCAGCAACAGCAGGTGATAAATGACAGTGTTGATATTGTTATAGTAATTACAATCAGTGTAACATTATAATAACAATGTTGAATAACACTTTAGAGCACAGCTTTTAAATGACAGTGTCAATATTTTGTTCATACAGGGCACCAATCAAATACTCACTGGATACATACATGTACAGATACAAGCAAAAACTACAGCCAATAAGGAGAAACTCATTTGTATTTAAGGAGACAGAAATAAATTACACTGATCATCACATATGAAGTCATTACAGGAACATACAGGGACCAACAGGCTGAGACAAGATGTACTTGAATAACAACAAGGTGATGACAAGGAGTCAGTCTACGTCTGTGGTGTTTTCACTCGTCAGATGGATCCTGCATCAGATCCCAGAAATATATCACTGGTCCCCACAATTTCAGCACCATTTTAGAAACATGATTTAAAGACATCATTTATATGAAGGTGCACCCGTCCTCCTAGTGTTACGCCCATGAAGTTGCCTGCTCCAGGGGTGACATACTTTAAAAAATGAGTGCCTGTGAGGACAAATAACAAAGGCACTGTGGGTGAGCTGGTCTTCAGTTGCTTTACTTAAAAAACATTAACTGCCAACTAAATCAATACAATCATCACAAAAACCACAATATCAAAATTCTACTATTTCAAAAATGCAATAAAACTGATCACCGGATATTTACAATCATTTGACTATTTACAATTATAATCTTTCCCTATATAAACAATTATCCTATCCCCCTTTATATATTAAATCATAAAACAATCATATTTACAATGTATCTATAAGAAAGTCTCCCTCTTCCTATTTCTGCAGCACCGCAGCCTGTGCGCTTTCTGGTTGCCTAGCAACGATAAACTGCGCTGTGCTGTCAATCAGCTGCGGCTCGCGCCGTAGCTGCTATTTATCGTTATTAACTGCCCAGTTAGACAACAACAAATTAACAAAACTGCTGGGACCTAATGACAAAATATACAAAATATAAACCACACAACACTGTAACATTAACTTTCACACACACACACACACACACACACACGCACGCACGCACACACACACACACACACACATCTACCAGCGGAGGAGGGCAAACTTCAACTCTCACCGACAGTTACACATTTAACATATAAGCAAAATCATTGAAAGCACATAATACACAAAACAGAATCGTCTTGTTCCCACTTTACAACACAAGTGTCTTTTGATAAAGTCTTTGATGTCTCTTTATTACTGTCATACAGGAAGGGCTCTGGACCACATCAACCAGATGAGCTTTAAACCCCATGTGGGAATGCGTGTGGACTCCCGTAAAATTGCTGTTCTCATCACCGACGGGGAGTCTCAGGATGACGTAAACCTCCCCTCACAGAACCTGAAAGACAGGGGCATTGAGATCTACACTATCGGTGAGTGACTGTCAGTTTGAATAGTAAGAAAGCAGCAGAGTCTCAGAAAAGTTCAAGTGAGGAAGAGCTGTGAAACTACAACACTTTACCACAAAAGAATTAAGTGACTTCCTGTTTGTCACAATGAAAATGTAAAATTTTATTTATATAGACCAATGTCACAAATCACAAGTGGCTTTAACAAAACACAGTTTACAGTATGGACAATCAGAATGACAACAGTATAGACTGGAAACAATAAGGAAAAATACAATCCAGGATTAAACAAAGAATAAGGTGCTAATTGAAAGTTAAGGCATAAAGATGAGTTTTAAGTCTGGATAAAGTTAAAATATTAAAGTTATAATTTGTAACCTTTCCATATTAAAATGTCTATAAACAACTAGACCTATGTTCTATATGTTGTTGAGTTGTGTTCTTACATTATCACAAATGTTTCCTTCAATTCTCAAACCAGAGAAATCTGTGATTTTAATCATGGTAACGTTTCATTGGTTGCCTGTCAGTGACATCATATCCTCTATGATCACGTGTCAGTGTGTTTGTCTGACAGAAGCTCAACATTGACTTTTATCTAGTTTTAAGACACATACACTTTTTACACCTCGGTGGTTTTCAGCTCTATATTTGACCCAGATGAAGGATTTTAGTCGTCGGACGTCTGGATCTGAAGTTATCAGAGAAACAAGCTGAGGAAATGTTAGACAGCTCAGCTCCCAGCTGCTGGAGACGTCCTGTCCTGTGTCACTGAAGAGCGTCACTGAATTTCTGACTGTTAAAGGGAAACTGCTTTCTGGGTGTTTCCACTGGTTTTAATCCCCTGGTGTGTTTGTTGTGGAGAGGAGGACACCTCTGTGGATAATTCAGCTGCTGGTAAAAACCTGCTGAACGTCTGCTTCATAAGTTATCAGAGAAACAATCAGAACAAAGGTTAGCATCAATCTCAGCTCCAGCTCTTCCCTGAGTCTCTGTCCTCCGTACAGCGTCGCTCAAACACTGACTTTAAATGTCAAACTGCTTCATTCAGTGTTTTTAATGGTTAGAATCACTGGGTTTGTTTGATTTTCCTGAACCACTAACACTGAAGGAATCCAAACTGGGAGGAGCTTATGGTAATGGTGGTGAAGACAACAACTCCAATGATCCCATGCTATTTCATGACATCACAACCTGGGTCACAACCTCTATGAGGGCTGTTAATACTAACCCTAACCCTAACCCCATGCTATTTCATGACATCACCCAACGCCGTCTTTTGTTATTGTTTGTCGACACCTCGAGGCAGAAGTTACAGACTGTGAGTTTAAACGTGTCATCAGACAGTCTGATGTCAGCAGGGAGGTTGTTCTCATATAGGAATCCCAGCGGCCTTTTCCCAGCAGACATGTTTGTGGATTGGGTTAAAATTCTAGCTGCAGCATTGTGACCCATCTGAAGACTTTTTCTAACAGGCTACAGAACAAAATGTTCAAATAATCCAGTCTGGATAACACCAAGGTGTGAAATAGAAAAGACAGAATCTTAGCTATGTTGTGTAGAGGGAGCTACCACAGAGGTGATAAAATACTTTGACAGCTGTTTATCTGTCTGTCTGTCTGTCTGTCTGTCTGCCTGCCTGTGTCTTTTTCTGTCTGCGTTTTTCTCTGGTTAAAACACATGTTCAACATCCTGCAGTAATAATAAAAAACACTGAGGAATAAACAAATACACATTAAATAATAACAGATCAGGTGCTGTTCAGTAAAGCAGTGCATTCTCCAAAATGCATCTGTATGATCAGGTTTGTGTCGACACGGGAGAATTTAATTTTACTGTAAAAACTTACATTCAATTCTCTCAATGGAAAAGAAAAAATTAAAACTAACCTGTCCTAGACAACCTAACTAAAGCTAACTGACAACCTATTAGCCACAGTCGGTTGTAGCTGTACCTGTTGTAATGTAGCTGTGGTCCCAGCTGTGGGTTGAGGTGTGAACATTTCCTCTGTCCCACCAGGTGACATCCAGCTGGAATATGAGCCTTTCAAACAGCTGATCAGGTCACTCTCCATTAAGGTGCTACTTTTAGTGCTAAGTGACTTTGTGATTTAGTTTTAGTCCTAACTTTAGGACTCCTAATTTTCCTGACCGACACATCCATTATTTTCTCCTAAATCAGCAAGTTAGGAGCTACTTTTAGCCTTAAGATGCTTTGTGAATACAGGCCCTGATGCGTTCAGCATTTATTTTAGTTTTGTTGAGGCTGGAGTTTTGCTGTTTAATTGGCCAATCTGTTACCAGTAGATGATGTATTTATTGCAACAAGACATCTTGTGTTTTTAGTTGCAGCAGTGTGGAGATAGAATTGTGATTACCTTAGTGAGTTGTGATCAATTGTGATCACCTTGTGATTTCCTCAGGTGTTTTGTAGTACACTTCACTACCACTAGTGGTGGGAATGATAATTACATTTTTGTGAGTAATATGGCAGGGGAGGAAGGCAGTCTCAATGTTATTAACAAAATCGAATCCCAGCTCACTACAGTGACAAGCTAGTGTAACAGGTCTCAGGCCGAGTACCGGTTAACAGATAAGGTTCCTGTGAAACAGGAGAAATAATGAGACAGGCGACCGTTGCTTCTGTTCAGTGCAGCTTCGCACAGTAGAATTTATTTATCAATGTGCAAAATCTCTTTACCATTCTCTGTTATCCCTTTTCTGTATTTCTATTTTTTCCATATTCAAATGTCATTTAACAATACAACATCCAGAATATCAGAAACAAAACCAAAATACATATAGGCTATTTACCACACAATCCTCTTGCTTCTCAATCCAACACACATTTTCCACTTCTCCCAAAGGAGTAATCCTGAGTTCAGTGTACAACTGTAGTAATATATCCTCAGTCATAGTGCAAATAACAGGAAATTAGCATATTACTTTTAATGACTGTTGGTTCACGATAAATATATGAGCTGAAGACTTGAGCTGAAAACTTACAAAGTTTAACAATTTTAACTGCTTATTATATTCAAATATCCCAATATATAACTGTAACGTTCAATTTACTTACACATTAACAAAATACGGTACCAACCGAACAATATATATACATATACAGTGGCGCCATTTTGGCTCACCCACGGCACACAGAAAACTCATATGGTTGCCACCTGTTCAGAAAACTATTCAAACATATTCAGTATCCTTACAAAATCGATCTGACATCTTATTTAAATGTATAGTGACACGTGTAGGTAGATATACAAATTTTAAAACACCACCAACCTGTAAAACAGGAGAAATAATGAGACAGGCGACCGTTGCTTCTGTTCAGTGCAGCTTCGCTCAGTAGAATGAGGAAGTCAACAAAAGTCCACTCGCAAGGAGAGTCCAAGAGAAGAAGCAAATCGCAACACTGCCTCCTGCTGGTAACACTAAGTAGCTGTAAGTGCACCATATAAAGGAGGCTTTTGCCCTTATCAAGAGATAAGATTTGACTATTTTGGCACATATTAACATATTTCTTTCACAGAAATAATATTTTCAAAATAAAGCAAATAAAATCACATCAAATGTGACCTACATTTCATGAGCGTCACACTAGCCAGTGGTTCAGTACATTAAGCCTACTGTGCATATCATCATTACCCAACACCAGTTAGGGACCAGAGACAATTAATGGATGCCTACACATCTTTCTGGCAAACACCAACACCCCTGCTAGTAGAGCTGCACAATTAATCAAAATATAATCAAAATTGCAATATGTCAAGTGAAATATCCAAATCACAGACACTGCAGTTGTTTTCATGGAGGCAAAATGTCTCACAACATTGTTGTGCATTGTTAGCATCATACGTGTTGTGATGTTACAGAGATGCCCCAGCCTACAAATCATATTCTCCAAATGTAAAGGAACATGTTTGTTTGATACGAGACCAACAAGAATCACACCATCATCCTTTTGAAAAAAATTCAGTGCAAATAAAATGATTGAGAAAAGTCAACATTGACAGGAGGAGACCTGCAGGCCAACAGGGCTACCAGCAGGGCTGGCAAGGGTTGAAAACTGGTTTGTCGTTGGGACCAGGCCTCACACTAGTGGTTTGCTCTTTCGAGTCTTTCCACGCCAGCGTACAGGGACAAACTCCATACCACTTACCATCGAGGCTTTGTGAGTGCAGACATGTCTCTCAAGCAGAGACACCCTTTCTGCTAAAGCAGAGCAGCTGAAACAATCGTAACACAGTTAGCAAGGTAGCATTAGCTGTGTCTAACTAGAGGCTAAGCTAGGATGCTAAGATGCTAGGGTAGGAGTTAAGCTTCATGTTACGAAAATCAAGTGAGGCATGACTCAGGTCTTACTGAATGAATTAAAATCGGGCTACTTCCCTGAAGGAAGAAAGTCAAGCTAAGTCATGGGATATGCTTTAGCATCAGTAATGTAAAGCACATGATTTCTAATTGCTGGGATTAAAATGTACATCAGTGTAGTTTGTTACGGTTTAGTTTAGGTATCAGGAAAAAACAATTTTATTACTTTGCCAACCAAAACATTTTTTCGTCTTGAGTTTCATGTTTGAGACATTGTGTTAACACATTATTTTTCTTTCAGGTGTGAGAGATGCTGACATGTCAGAGCTGCGGTCCATTGCCTCTGACCCCAAAGAATCTCACATGTACTATATTAAGGAATTCCTTTCTTTGTCGGACATCACCAACAACCTCTACATTGACCTCTGTAACAGCGCTAAAAGCTTAGGTAGGCAAGCATACAGCCATGCATGGTGGTGTAGCAACTCTGGCAGAGAAACTCACAGAGGGCAAAGTAAAATTCACATCATAAGGTGTTTAGCCAGATAATCCAGGGTCAGGTAAGCAGTCCAATAAATGCAAACAGTAACAGGCAGGGAGCAGCAGAAGTCTGAAAACCAAGTAACAAACCAAAGGGCAGACATGAGTAAATGGCTGGAGAGCAATGCATACAGGAGACACAAACAGCCTTTTTTCACCTTGTGGTATCTGCACCTCTCCACTCTATTCGCCTTTTCTGGTTTTCCATTGGGCAACACTTTTGGATAGTACCTGGTACTTGTTCACACCTCCTCTGAGTTTCTAAGTGAGCGGAGATGATACCAAAGGTGATGTGAGATCACAGCAGACTAATGATTGGTCAGAGAGAATTGTCCCCACTGCATCATCATTCTACAAGACAGGACATTCTGGACAAGCCAGCCATTTTTAAATGGCCAAGCAACTGCACGCTCTCACTGTGGACCATTATATTACTGTTAGTTATTGTTCTATACTTTTAGTATGGCACCTATAGAAGAGACTGAAGCTGGAACTTGTGGATCCAAATGAGATAATTTGCAATAAAACTGAACAGAATGAAATAACACTAGTATTTATACCATCACTCTCAGATACAGGTTTCCACTGCACTTTCTTCAGAGCCATAGCGGGGGCTTCCAGGTTTCCTGTGATTCAGTCTTACTGATATGCACACCTTCCTGTATGACATCTGCCATTGTTCATGTGTGTGTCGCTTGAAGATGACGTCCTGAATACTTAATGCATTGTTGTCTAGACTAGTCAAGTCTAGAGTCAAGTTGAGTTGAGTTAGTACCATGTAGTGGGAAAATGCTAAAACACAATCTGGCAGAGAACAAAGAACACAGAACAGCGTATGAACATGTCCAACTGGTGGGAAACAGTAGGCACAGGTAGGTGGGCGGAGCAAAGGGGAGGAGGTTCAAGGGGCTGGGAAACACATGAGGACAGGAGCTGCAATGACACAAGAGGTAAGTACACATAAATAAAACAGGAAACGGATAGTGAAAAAAGGGGTCGCTGGCATACTGACGCACTGGTGTCAGGATCAATCTCAGGATATTATGGTTATCAAAGCTGTTAAACACCAGCTAAATTTTGGATGATAACAGTTTTATAAAGTATATAAAGTTGTCTTATAGCTGTGAAGAACTAAATAGTTTTCATTTAGCAAAGGAAGGACCTAATGGTCAAATTTGATGGAAAAATACAATGAGGCCTTGACTTCTGCTACGACTTCTTCCCTAACTTGTGTACAATTGTTTTCTGCCAACAATCCCTGCACAGATGGAGTCTGCTATTCCCCCCAGCTCCAGGTCATAGTGCCACCATCTTCCCAGGGCTTTCAGACAACAACACAAACTCAATATTATAATGTCATATAATATAATATATTCAACAATATACTCCAGGGATCCATTTCTCTGGCACAGTTGGTTTAAGATAAAATAAACTTAAAACACAATACATGGGCTCAGGTTCTGCACACAGCTACACTCATAGTGCATTCAAAATAAAACAAAGTACATCATTTTTCATATAATATAAAATATCAAGAAAAATAAAATGAATGCTGTGTTAGTCTAGATGCTGAAAAAGCTTTTGATTGTGTCAGCTGGCAATATCTATTTTTAGTACTAGAACATTTTGGATTTGATTACAACAAGATAAATAGTATTTAAACATTATATACAACCCCAACAGCAAAAATGAAGATGAACGAATGTCTAACTGATCACATTAAGCTGGAAAGGTCCACTCATGAAGGATGTCTCTCTCTCCAACCCTGTTTGCACTTTACATAGAACCTCTGACACACGCAATGAGAGGAAACAGTATTCTTCAGGGAACTGGAAAAGAAGATAAAGTAGCGTGATACACCGATGATGTTTTGTTATACGTGGCTGATCAGGGTGTGTCACTCAACACTCTGTTAGGTCTCCTTAACATATATATATATATAAGCCGAACATGCAAGAAATACATTTTAACAATGAAATTACAACCCATCAGAGTTCAAATGAGCTCTCTCTCTCTCTGCAGACTCTATCAGGCTGGTGAATGGAACCAGTCTGTGTTCAGGCAGACTGGAGGTGAAGTCTAACCAGTCTAACCAGTGGTGGTCCTCAGTGTGTGACGCTGACTTTGACCAGCAGGATGCAGAGGTGGTCTGTAGGGAGCTTGGCTGTGGGGCTCCTTCAGTCCTCCAGGGGGCGCTCTATGGAGAAGTGGAGGCTCCAATGTGGACCAGAGAGTTCCAGTGTGGAGGCAATGAGTCTGCTCTCCTGGACTGTAGCAGCTCAGACTCAGCTAGAACCACCTGCTCACCTGGGAAAGCTGTTGGACTCACCTGCTCAGGTAGAAGTGGAGCTGCAGCTTTGATTGGCTTCATCTCTGTTCTAATCAAACTCACTTTTCTATCTTGTTATTGTTGGATAAAACTTAGTAAATGAGATTTTGCAGCCAATAAATAAGGTGGGAACAGGAGAAGAAATTATTTGTAACAGGTGTGTGTAGGACCCAAATGCAGCATGCAGTTCAACAAAAGCAGTTTTTTGTGACCTTTATTTTTACGTAGGCCAAAACTGGAGCTGGCAGATAAATAAATAAAAAAAACAAAATCTTGCTGGAGGCTTGGGCTGAATAAGCCAGCACAGGATCACGCAGAGAAAGGCTCAAGTTACAAAAGCAGTTCTCAAGGTCAGGAACAGAAGCCTGAGTGTTTACCAGGGTTCAGGTGAGAAAGGCAAATCAGGTTCAGCAACAAGGAATCAGTCCAAGAAATGCTGGAGAGTCTCACATGGAGTAAAGCGAAGAACAATCTGTGTAAAATGACTGGAAGGCTGGGGTTTGTTTACTGGGTGGGTGTCATCAGGAGTAGCTGTGTGATCAGGTGAATGGAGTTGGCTTGATGAGGTGGCAGTGGCTAATGCAGGGAGCTGAAGGAGGACAGGGCGAATGGAAAATTAATGACTGGGAGCTGGATGACAGGAATGCTGTGAGTCAGGTGACCTCACATGCAGAACTGTGACATCATCACAAACTGTGTTAATGAAAAGTAAACACCTGATATTGTTCAAAATCTAATTTAATCAAAATTTAAGAATAAAAAATCCAAAAACTGGACTGACATTTTTATGCCATAAGGTAAAATATTTAAGATTGTATAATGAAACCTAGCATTTCCATCGGATTATATAAATTTAACATTCAGTATATGTATAATGCATAGTACATTTTAGTGAAAATTTACTACAACACCTTCAAACTGAATATTCCCTGATGAAATGAAAATATCGAGTCATTCCTAAATATAAAAACAGAGATAAACAAATTATAGGCCTTGCCCAGTTCTCAAAAATATTGAGTGACCATCATTATGGATTTAGAGCAAATAAGTCTACTTCAATGGCAGTGATGAGAGAAGGGATATCTACTGCAACAGACAACAAAAAATACATTATCGATGTGTTAATTGATTTAAAAAAAGCATTTGACACTATTGGTCATGGCTTATTAATGAAGAAACTGGTGTGATATGGAATCAGAGGAAAAGCCCAATCATGGATAAGCAACTACCTTGGTGATAGATATTAGTAGTATGTAAATGTAGATAATGTAGACTCTGACTTACTAGTGAGATTCCACAAGGTTCAGTGTTGGGACCTAAGTTGTTTATATTGTACATAAATGATATCTGTAAAGTGTCCAAATTATTTAAATTTGTTCTAATTGCTGATGACACAAATGTATATTGCACCAGGAAGAGTTTGGAACAGCTTCTGACTTCAGTGCAGAAGGAATTGAAAATGATGAAGACATGGTTTGATACTAACTAATTATCATTTAATTTAAGTGAGACTAAGTATATAATATTTGGAAATTGACAAATAAAACAACAAGTTAAAATAAGGATTAACAACTTTGAAATAGAAAGAGTGCATGAAAATACATTTCTGGGTGTCATTATTGACCATAAATTATGTTGGAAGTCACAGAAATAATATAAAGGCAAAACTGTCTACAAAGCACACACATTTTAAACCACAAATTACTACATCTAGTATACTGCTCTATCATATTACTGTACATGACTTTGTGTGGAGATTTGGGGGAAAAAAACTCAATTTTCATGCTGCAGGAGAAAGCTATGATAATCAAGATTATTATGAACCAATATATCCACTATTTATTCATTCATATGCTTTAAAATTTCATGATGATGTCAACTCTAAAACTGCACAGATAATGTAATAAGCACAAAATAATTTACTCCCAAACTGTATTCAGAGGTTGTTTGAAATCAGAGAGAGTCAGTATGAGCTGAGGGGAATGAAACAAAAACAAGGATGAAGACAAATGTAAAAAGGAGATGCATATCTGTTGAAGGGGTTACTGTGGATGAGTTAAGAATGTGTAGTTCGGGGACTTCCGGTTAAGAGGCGTGCTGACTAGACACGTGCTCTGTCTTCTCCCACCTTCACTTCTTTTCTTTACCATTTAAACTTCACCTATATCAATACAGACTGGTTGCAGTGGTTTTTTAACTCAGCACTAACTGTACGGACTATCTAGCAATGTCCAAAACAAATGGAAAGTCTTAACTATGGCCGACATTAGCTCGCTGCTAGATGACCACAGAACGGCTCTCGCAGCTGATTTCAAATCTTCATTCAAAGCTCTGGCAACCAAGTTGGACAGCATCCACTCCACTGTTACAGGCCTCGAGCAGCGTGTCAGCTCTCTGGAGGATAATGCTACAACACATCATTCAAAACTAAAGTTACAGACCTGGAGGGCCGCAGCAGACGCCAAAACATCCGGATCGTTGGCTTACATGAGGCAATTGAAGGCCCCCATCCATCCACGTTCTTCTCTCAACTTCTTGTAGATGTCCTCGGCACAGAGATCCTCACCGAACCTCCTTGATAAAGTCTTTACCATCATTTCGAGGGGAGATTATTTGCCATTATTATTAACCATTTAAAATATTTAATCACTAAAATTGCCTTTCTACAGGAAACCCACCTCCAGCCATCAGACAACCTAAAACTCTGCAGAGGGTTAGTGGGCCAGCTCTACCACTTTAGTAAGGCCCAGGGGGTTGCAATTCTTTTTCACAAATCAGTACCATTCTCTGTGTCATATCAGACCCCAATGGGCACTTTATTGTCATTACAGGCAAAATCTGTGGCAACAACCTGACATTGGCAAATGTGTGTGGTCCAACTTGGGACAGTGAAGACTTTTTTAAACACTTTCTTTTCTCTCTTCCTGATTTAAATTCTAGCCAGCTCATTATTGGAGGTGATTTTAACTGTCGTCTTGATCCTTCAGTTGACCGTTCATCTAACAAGCCCTGTGCCCATTCAACTGTTTATCGAGCAATATGCAGTTACGGTTATGTGGCATTTTTTTAACCCCAATGCCAAAGAGTTCTTTTTTATTTTCCCCTGTCCATGGCACTTTCTCCTGTACTGACTTCTTTCTGATTGATAATAAATTACTCTCCTCTGTCAGCTCATGCTCCTACCAGTCCTATAGTAATATCAGATCAGGCAACTGTCTTAGTTGATTTCTCTCTTCCTGGTAGGTCGCTGTCATGATCCCTCTGGTGCTTTAAGTCGCTACTACTCAGAGACCCTGATTTTATTAAAAATATTAACAGTTACATTGATCTTTTCATCTCCACTAATGTTAACCCACATGTTGCATCAACATGTGTAAAGCTGTAAGGAGAAATCATTTCTTATTCTGCTTACCAGAGAAAGATCACCCCCCCCCACACACACACACACACACTCCCGTATTCTCCAACAACTCTCCTAAAATAAACACACTCACCTAAACAGCCAAAGACAAAAGCAATAAGCACACTACAAACCAATTCAAACAATGCAAACAAACAATACAGGCCACCTCACCTGGACTAGCTGCATGGTCTCAAAGAGGCTCACACAGACCACACCCCCCACTTAAAAACACTTCCTCTTCCTGGATTTCTTCCTTGCTTCTCCTAAGAGTCTAAGTGCTCCCCGTGCTGGTCCCCCAGCTACCATTATTTCTTCTCATCCAAATCCACTGACTGGATCTTACTGCCTCATCTGACATGTCCTTTACTATTTTCCTCACACTCTGTCCACTTCCTCCTAACTCCCTCACCAAAGAAACAACAGACCTTGCTACAAATCCTCTACATCTGACTTCCACTGGACAAATCCTAATATACCTCACTTTACAGTTTTTCTTTATGTCACTTATTCAGTCATTCATGTGGGGATTTGTTTACTGTATTACTGTTTTTGTGTTTATTGTATTGAAAATTCTAGAAGTAAATCATATATAAAAAGAATGTGCAGCTTACTTGTTAAATTAAAACAAATGTTTAAAAATATGGTGATGAATATAAAAACTGAGATATGATCATTATCACATAAATGTAGCAGTGAAAGTCTTTTTTTCCTCTCTTCTTTATTTTGGTCTGTGTATGTTCGACACACTGGAACTCCTAATCTTGCCTCTGCTTCACTTTTTAGTTTTTAGCAGTTGTGTCTAATCTTGTGTCTGTGATTATACACTGGCCTGTAGTGAGAGAGTTGATGAATCATGTAACGTTGTGTGGAGAGGGGAGGTGTAATAAGCTGCAGCTGCAGCTGAACTGACAACTAATAACTTGACTTGTGTCACTGATGACTCTCTTTGTGTTCAGAGCCTGTCAGATTGGTGGGAGGAGCCAGTCGCTGTGCAGGTACACTGCAGGTGAACCGAGGAGAGTGGAGACCAGTGGATGACGATGGCTGGACCCTGAAGGAAGCAGCTGTAGCCTGTAGAGAGCTGGACTGTGGCTCTGCTGTTTCAACAAGGAGAAGAATGGAGTCCTCATACAGCTCTGTATGGAAGATCAACACTGACTGTGTTCATTCTGGATTTACCCTGAGGGATTGTTCATCATCAGCTTCCCCTTCCGCCATCCTGGAAATCACCTGTTCAGGTAAGTCCATCAGTGACTAATATTTCCAGTATTCCTCAGTGACAGTCAGTAGTCTCCACCGCTGCTTCAAATGTTACAATCTGCACCGTTAAGCAACCTGCTGTGGGTCACTCACAAACCCAGCAGCTCCCACAGCCCTCACTCACACCCCCTTTACCAATAATAACTACAGTCGAAGATAAAAGCAGTTTGGTGCCACTCACGACTCCCACAGGGAGAGTTTATCCCCAGCAGTAGTTCATCTCGTCCTGGAAATGTGGCAGACAGGTTTGTGGTCGTTCTTCACCAGCTCTGTGTCCACTCCCCTCATGGTGAACCTCTCAGACAGTTTTCCACAACAGCAGCTAACTGCAGCACACCAGGAGGAAAACAGGGTTTGTGGCAAGAGGCCGACTCTTGTGTTTTGGTGGGCCAATGTTTGACTGAGCTCAGTTCCTTACACTTCATTTTGGTTTGTGATGAAGAATCAGCACCACTTTGTGATGAGGCTCCGTTTATAAAGACTCTATACGCTGTAATTAATGGCTTCATGTCTTTCTGTCTCTCCGTTGGACTGTTTGACCACTGATCTTCTGGAAAACAGCTGCAGAACATCCCGACCAAACTCCAATTAGAAACCTATTATTAAACATTCAGCCAATCATGTCTCTGTCTACAGACTTGCTGATTTGAGGTTATCAAGGTTTAACTCTGGGTTTTCAGTCCTACAACAGTGGTTC